CTACCGGTAAAGTAGTACGCATTGTCAACGAAGTACAACAATAGGTCGTGGTAGTATAATAATTATTGTCACCGACTTCGTCCTACTGTAGTTCTAGAGATACTCTCTCTCTCTCTCTCTCTCTCTCTCTCTCTCTCTCTCTGCATATATCTGCAAGTCAGTTTCCACTTCCCCAAGGTGATCAATGATCTCAACAATAAACAGACAAAGCACCGGGCATGAAAGAATGAACACAAAATATTCTCCACTTTTCAATACATCAAAAGATATAAGAATCAAAGAATCAAGCAAGCTAATTCATACCTTGTCATCCTTTGCCAAATTCTCAGCTGCAACCTTATGCCGTGATGAAGAAGGACGACCCAACTGGTGTAAACATGGATTAGTTTCGAAAGCACCTAGTTCTCCATGCTTTGGCAGCTGAAGTCCATTATGATCATGCCCAAAATAAGCATTCTTATTTCCATCAAGATTCACTCCCAACTTCATGTTTAACCTCCTCTGGGGTACCACCTTTCTTTTTCGACTTGCAAAAACGTCATTGTCAGTAGAACCATCATACTCAGGAACCTCAGAAGCCCTAGAGTAACCAGAACTGGAAAACGCATGATTCCCAAATTCTTCACCATGTTTGCAACATGCATTTGAATTGCATGAGTCCCTTGTGGATACAGGAAAAAGGTGCTGGTAGGTTATGGGTGAGTTGGGTCGGGAACTAGCCTGATACACTATAGGCACCATAAGAACATACGAGTTAGTTCCAAATGTGAGCAAGAGTGTTCAGGGTAAACAAAAAGTCCATAAAAAATTTAGTTGAAAAGATGGTTTCATTAGAAAATCATCTGAACAATTTTCAGGGTGAAGTAAACATCAATTGGTTTTTGTGTTATTACAGAAAAGAAGAATATCAGATTATTCACCAAATAAATTTTTCAAAGCTTTTAGGGTATCTAGAAATGTTCAAGTTTTCACTAAAACACACCATTATACATCAACCTCAATCCCTCCACTGCATATAATTAAAAGACTCAATTTTAGATTTCACCTCCTCCCAAGCCTCTGCCTTAACGGTAGGATTGATGGTTTAAAAGAGGTCATGGGTTTGGACCTTTGCCTTTCGAAACCAAGTTGACATACCCCAAAAAGAAAAAAAAGAAGACCCTCTCAATATATATTTCTTAAATTATCATAAGTGGGATGCAAGAAATTTTCAAAAATCCAACACCCTAAACCACCATATATAAATACTTCCAAAAATTGCATTAACTTGTACCTGGATTAGGACAGATGCTAGTTGGTAGAAGATATTGGTCTGTAGAAATATCAATCATTCTCTTTAAATTTGATGGTGCATTGCTGGAAATAAGTGCATTATCATATGAATTGCAAGGAACTGAGTATGAACTTCCAGTGGCATCTGACCTCCACAATCTCTCTCCATTGATATCAAAGCTATTTGAAGGAGCAAACATGGAATTCAGGTCAACCTTCTGACTGAAGCAAGTCTCAGACCCATGAAAGTAGCCTATATGTCAAAGCAAGATCTTAAGTGATGTTTTAATCATTCAAACTGTAACAATATAAAAAAAAAACTGTATGCCATGGTATAATAGGTAACAAGATAAAATGTTCAAAGAAAGGAATTACAATGTATCAAACAAAAAGCCATGATAGGAAGATGTTAACATGGAAAACCGAAAATGAGATCACAGTTCAAACAAAATTTGCAGGTGGATCAACTATACCAAACACCACGAATACATTGTAGTCTAAGTCCCATGTAAAGACTAATATTGAAGTAAATAGAAATTTGAATCCTTGTTCCCAAAATATTCATGTGAATGACATATAATATAATAAAATCCAATCACAAGTGCAGTACTTGCTAGTATGACCACTTCATCTATCCTACTTGCTGCCGTCTATATGAGAAGAAACTCACTGCCATCATATGCAAACTTTTTCAAGGATAAAGGCAAATTCTCATTTCGATATCATCTATCCAAAAAGATCTATATTTTTCCGTCAGACTATATTCTCCATTTTTTGGTTTTTGTTTGTCTGCCATTTTGATGTGTTACTCATAGGAAGTCAAAGACAGCGACAACACAAAAAGACATAAAAGTTTCACATGTGATTGCGTGCAAACTGTAATTCTTGTCATAATTGTCCTTATCCCTTCAATGCCAATCATAGCTATAATTCAATCAAGTAACATATATACCAGTAAAACAAAAAGGGAAGTTCTACAGGTTGGGTGCAAGACCCGTCATGCTTTATGGGACGGAATATTGGGAGGTCACGAAACAACACATCCATAGAATGGTCAAGACAAACCCTTCTCTGACAAACACCAGTCTCACCAACATTTACATAGAACCATAAAGCTAAATTTGATCACAACCAAACTACGGTACACCAAACTCAATACTAATTCAAACAAATTATAGAGAGGGAGATAGAGTGTGTTTTCTCAACCGAGTAACATCTACATAGAACACATTAAAGCTAAAATTGACCATAACTAGCTATGGTAGACCAATCTCTGTCCTAATTCAAGCAATCAAGATAGAGAGGGAGTTTTCTCTATAAATCAAAATTCCCCTTAACATTCACATAGAACCATGAAAGCCAAAATTGACCACAACCAGCCTATGGTACACCAATCTCAATTCTAAATCAAACAAACTAGAATGAGAGAGAGAGAGAGAGAGAGAGAGAGAGATAGGGTGTTTTCTCTATCAATCACCGGTAGCATATACATATAACCATAAGAGGAAAAAACAAACATAACCAGACTATGGTACAGCAATCTCAAATCCAATTTGAACAAACTAGAGAGAGTGTGTGTCTCTGTGTGTGTTCTCCAACAAATTATCAAGCGATGGTCTCGCTAAATGTGCTTGGAACCATAAAAGCTAAAATTGATTATACTTAAACTATGGTAAAGTAATATCAATTCTAATTCAAACAAAACAGAGAGATCTATAATTATCATTTAGTCATCATAAATATCCATAATATCGATACTTGTACACCAAAAGCTCAATTATCTTCATCAACCATTCGTGCTAGTACCTGGTTGAGGCTGAACAGAGGAGGCAGGAAACGTGAACCTCTGGTTAACTTGAAACACCTGCTTGAAATCAATGGTCTCTCTTCCTCCAACTCTAACACTCTGCTCAAGATTGACAAACGAATCAACAGGTAACACAGAACCAGTAGGACCAAATAACTGATGCTTAATTTGTGTATCAGACATCGAACGACTCCCTGCAATTTCTCCGCTGATCCATCCACTGAATTCATGGCCATTTTCCACTTCACTGGTGCCAATCCCTCCCGGTGAAGTAGAAGAAGAAACAGGAACACTAATTTTGGAATCAGAACGAGAAACCTGAACCGGTGAACCAGAGACAGAGCCATCGCCTTCTCGATTTCGTCCAGCTTCTTTGGTGGACTCATGGATAATTTCTGGTTTAGCAGTACGCCGCATTGGGTGGAGAAGAGAGGGTTAGAGAGAGAAGGGAGTGGTAGGGTCTTGGTTGTAGGGGTTTAGGCATGGGCTCAATCAAGGGTACTAAAAAACCGCTGAAGTTAGAGGAAATGGAAGGCGTCGCTAAATTTGGAGAAGATATCAGAGGAGAGAGAAAGGGGTTTCTATAAAATGGAGCAGAGCTTATGATCCGATCGAGAGTGGGGATTCCGATAAATTTGGGAGTGCGAAGCCGCCAAGTGTAGGAAATGGCAGTGAAATTCCAATACTTATTCAAGGATAGAGGTAGAGAGAGAAAGGAAACGCACCAGCCGTTTTGTTCGCCCGCCATTAATGCCATTTTTAGCAGGTTTTTGGGAATCTCTGTTGATAAATGGGGGAAGCTCGGGAAGAGGAGCAGCCACACTCTCTCTGTCCTTAAATTCTCTCTCTCTCTCTAACTTCCCTCTCTCTCTAAATTTGCTCTCTCTTCTTCCCTAAATTCCCACTCTCTCTCTAACGTCGCTCTCTCTGTCTCTCTAAATTTGCTCTCTCTCCCTCTGTGGAAATAGCTTCTTGTTTCGAGACTTGAGGAGATGAGCAGGCTCTTCTCTCTATCAAGATTCGATCTTTATCTCTCTAAATTTGCACTCTTTCTATAAGCAACGCTTTGAAGAGTTTAGGAGATGAGCAGGCTCTTTCTCTCTCTAAAGCTCTCTCTCTTTCTCTCTCTAAGACATTCACGCCTTCGGCTTCTCTCTCACACTGGTTGGACCTTTTTCCCGCTCTTTTTCTAGTTATGGAATGAACCGCTCCATTAATAACGTGTTTAAGAGGGGGTTAACAGATCGGAAATGACTAAAACGACCCGAAATATCTAGTTGAATTACGGCTCTTTTCCGAATATATTCAAAAAAAAAGGAAAAAGTTTATATAAGGTGCAGTAAGATGCACATTAAAAATCCAACACAAGATAATTTTTCGATGTGGGAGATCCCTTCAATCGATCTTATCTACATCGAGATTTATGGAAATAAAAAAAAAAATTAAATCTAAAGAATAGTACATCTAATAACAAATTATCTAGACCGTTTATTTTCAAATTATCTAGACCGTTTATTTTCAAATTATCTAGACCGTTTATTTTCAATATTTTCAAGTGTATCTACTTAATCTGTATTATTTTTGAAATTCTTAATTTTATAAATGTTGATGAAAATAGATTTTCAAGCCCTCATAAGATTTCCAACACCAAAACGACAACTCGATAAAATTTTAGATGTGTGCCTTACTTTTAAAGCACAAAGAAACAATCTTATACAAACCTCATCCAAATATATATATCCTTTTGTTTTTAAGTTTTGACCATTATACCCTTTCGAGGGTTTGCTCCGAATCCTTGGTACGGTTGGGCTAACCAAAGGGCGAGCCTGAATATCCCTTTTTTCGATAGAATAAGTTACTTAGATGCTCCATAATCCTCGATCATCTCAACCTCGAGATGTATGCCAAGAGAAAAAATGGTTTTCAAATATTGAAAATAGTGCATCTTGTAATGCATTTTTTAGAGAATCAATTTTCAAGATTTTTAAGTATTCATAGATCCACTCGAACTACATTATTTTTTATGCTTTGAATTAAAATAAATTTTTCGGCCATCACAAAGATTTCCGCATTGAAACAATTTCTTTTTACCCTATTTAAAGGTGCACCTTACTTTTATTGTTTAGGGCCTTGGTTTTTTACAAACTACACCTTCTTTTTTTTTTTTCCTTTAATGCAATGGATCTGAAATAATTAAAAAAAACACACATTAAACATAGAAAATTAGGTAAACCGTAGAGGTTACGGCCCGTCCTCATTTCCCTTCCCAAACTGAATCACCTTCTAAGTATGATCTGAATCATATATTCTCAGTCAAGATAGACGATTTTTAAGATCATGAATCAAAGTATCCTTAAATTGGTTGTTTTATGTGGAGTCATGAAATCTTTGACCTTTCAAGAATGAAAATATCGTAAGAAAGGGAATATAAGGAAACATAACCTTTCCCAAAAAGATTAAAAAAAATAGTTACATTGTTTGTTGTTGTGAAAGGAATTAACTTCTAAATAAAAATAAGAAGAAGAAATAGTACTTTTTAGGGTTCCTAACGAGCCCTAAAACAAAGGAGAGCATCTTAGGAAGGGAATATAGAGAAACATATCCTTTCCAAAGAGAGAGAAACATATTTTAGTTGCATTCTTGTAATGTAACAGAGACATGCACAAAGAAGTACAAAAAAAAAAAAAAAACGTTCTTTTCTAAAAAATTGTTTTTGTGGCCGTTATGCCTTTTTGGGAAACCATGATAATCTGCTATTTATGGATTGATTTTGTGGCATTTATTAATTGTCTGTATCGATAATTATTATTATTATTATTTTAAGCCAATACCATATAATGATTTAGTCTTATTTTGAGCCATGAATAAGTTTAATTTATTTCCTTTAAAGTAATGGATAAATCTTTGTGTACAATTTAATTTATAAATAATTTTTATTATTTGAAAAATGATATTGACCTTATCTTGATAGGCAGTGAGCTGGTAATAATTTTAAAGTAATGGATAAATCTTTGTGTACAATTTAATTTATAAATAATTTTTATTATTTGAAAAATGATATTGACCTTATCTTGATAGGCAGTGAGCTGGTAATAATGTTATAGAACAATATGGGCTATTTTTGTCAAGTAATAATTCATTTTGTATGTTAACTACAAGTATTCCAATTTGATATTGAATAGTTATTGATCCGTATGGAAACCAGGGAAAGCTCACCGGAAAAATAATTTATACCTTGTTATCTCACCTTAACCCCATTCCCACTAACACATTTAAAAACCACTATCTCTAAAACAGGTAGGGCCTATCTTCCCCACTGATCTACCCAAAACAAAAACTTACTATTACACATTACAAGCATTTTTAGAAAATCAAATATAAACACATGATAAGCACCTCGAAAATTTCATAAAAGATCAAACACTAGCTTGTCAGCCCAAAAAGAAAGGTAATCAAAATAAATAATGACTTCATTTGGTATGTGTGAAAAAGAAAAGTATACAAATAAACAATTTAATTTTGGTACAAGAGGTTACAATCATTGATATTCATCAAATTTTAAATCAAACGGTTGTGAGTATATCATGATTAGACTCAAAATTCAAAAAAAAAAATCTTGAATTTTGTGACACACCCCAAGTCATCCAATTTGACATTTAATGGCTATGAGTAATTGTGATATCTTTGTAACAAATATACATGATCTCACAATATAAATTCCCGTATGAAAATATCAATCAATTGTATCTGTCAGATGTTAAATTCAACAATTGTACAATAATGCGCTTGAGATCCAAGAGTATTATCCTCGGACCTTTTACGGTTGTCTACATTTTAGCAGAGAAATAGCGTCCCTTCTCTCTTAAAATAATTAGTTAGGGGTGGCAATGGACTTGGACCCAACGACTGAACCCGACTCGAGTCCGAGTATGGGTCCATACAGTACCGAAAAGTGTTAATATTTAATATGTAATATTTTAATAAATATAACTATATAACTTTAGTTATAATATTTAAGTAATATATATAGGTCGGTTGCCGTTTGAGTATGGGGCCAGTCGAGTCCTAGTCTGATAACTTTGGGTTTGGTTAGGTCTAGGTCCGAGTCCTATAATACAAGACTGGACCCGCTGCCACCCAGATAACCAGTATGTACCCCATTTCAAAGGTACAACCAAACATGGCATCCTTCCACTATTCTTATTTTGGCCATTCATTTCATAGAAATAACCCCAATCATCAATATGGGATTTCAGCATTTAGATGCCCAAATGGTCACAAATTTACCCATCCTTCGTAATACAACTTGAAATGTGATTTCGATGATTAAAAAAAATATTTTTACAATAAATGGACACTGGAGATCTTCCCACTTTATTTTGTTTCTTATTATGCATGGGAGTGATTATGGGACGAGCTCTGCTACCCATGTAAATGATTTATTGTGCGCATAAGTACGCGTAATCCGGTCGTGGATAGCTAAAAATATCACAAATTAATTGCAGCCTGATATTAACGGCCGACAATAGACTTTAGTATGATACTATTTTTTAGCTCACTAACAACTGTCCAAGTAAGATTGGGTGTTGTTAATTCGATGCATATCCCTGAGTGAAATGGGATCATACAAGAGTTTACTAGTATTGTAATTCAAACACAAAGGGAGAATGACAAGTGCCAACTTCTAAGCATATAATCGACTGCAAATTTTTTAAAAAAAAAATGTGATTTGTCATACAACCAATTATATTTGGTACAATAAAATCACGATCACATATATTCGTAAAATTTGAAGGCCTCTGGGTTCAACATTTGTCATTTTCGCATTGATCTATATTGATTACACATGTCACCATATGATCTCTCCTGCAATAACCCATGCCTTCTTATACGTTCTCGATATGACTTGTGCCAAATCGAAGTTAGTACTTCAAATGAAAGGGATATCATTATATGCTTTCAAGACTAACTTGTGAGTTGTGATTTGTTCTTCAATTCGACTCTCTTTTTTTTTGGTATATGGTGTATCAAACTTCAGTTTTGATCTAGATTGCAAAGAGTCGCATTTGTCTCCTTCTGTGGGCTATCTGAATTTTGAACCAAAAGTATCTGTTTTGGAGACTTACATGCTTAAATTTGGATATCGGTGCAACAGAGACCGGTGTTTGAAAAATCAAATTGGCCAACTACTGAATCCGATTAACAGGTAAATTGACTAGTTCAACCAGCCTAACTGAACAGGTTCCGGCTAGTCTAAGTGTTAAAAGAAGAATACAAAAAAAATGTTTAAAACTTGACTAAACGCAACACTTGAAAAGCAGTGGAAAAAAATGATTTTAAAAAAAATCGATTTGTGCTACTTTTTTTTTTTAAAAAAATAGATGGGAAAATGGAAAAATAAGTATTCATGACCAAAACACTTGTCAATGTTTGACAAAATGATAAAAAATATTAAAAAAACATATTACAAACAAATACATTGTCTTTCGAGATTTTATATATTTTTAGAAAAATTTAAATGCCCAACAAGACCACCAAAACCGGGCACAATTAGATCGGCCAGTGCCAAATTCCGATTTGACCAGCCGGTTTTGAGTTGGACCGGCCGAGTTTTGCAAATACTTACATAGACTCCATCGGGTTGGTTTTACCAGTATTCAAAAAACCAAGCATATTTTTACTGGAGTCCGTCTGTTTTGAATGGCTATGATATAATAATCATTGATTTTCTGTCATTTGTGGTCTACCAGACGCTGTGGACTCAATTTTCCAATTTTTCTCCTTCAGCTTTTGCAGGTCCCAAATGTGACAACAGACCAAGTTGGATGAATAAATGTGTATTTACATTTGTTTGTCACTTGATTCTGTATGGACCATTTTGTTTTCTTATATGCAGTCTGTCCATGCAATTATTCACACTGCAACAATATAATTATCACTATCTGCAATATGTGATATCAAGTGACAAAGGGGTGTCATTTTTATGCATAAAGTTCTAATTAATCTTTTATAGACTTCTATTTCGCCCAATTTCACATTTAACGATTATGAGTTATATGGCTTAATGTGACATACTTGTACTAAAAGCAAATATTTTTTTTGTGCACTTTATTATTGTTTTTTGAACATTACCAAATAATTTCTATTAAAAGAAAACCAAGTTACAAGAT